CAAACAATATAAAGTTTCTTTCTAGTCTGATATCTTATCGAGGGTTCACAATGAGCGAGTTAATTACGAGTTGATGTAGGTACGACTTTCCGGGAAGCTAGCTAGCTTTGTCCTTTGCCGCACGCGTTGAGTTTTCCACCGTTGAATTTACGTAATGTATTCATAAAAATACTAATGTCTGATGAAAATCCACTGAAGTTAAATGGTTTGTAATGTTCGAAATTTATAAAGATTCCTGGTCAAATATCTGAAGTTTTTCGATTGAGGAGCGTTATAACAATCACAGTTATAGCTTTCGAAGTTTATAGCACATTGATAATAGCAAACTACTAATGGACACTCTACTTGGCACGTCGCGTTGGTTATATTTGTAGCCGTGGGAAGGTTTTCTAGAAAATTCAGTCTTACGTAACAATAGTGAACTACATTTAAACGTTTACGTATGTACATATATCGTTGATTCTTATTCTTGAGAATCTTCTACAACTTTGAAGAATAGGCGGGAGTTTCGCAATACATATCTAAAACTATAAGCTAAGCATGTTTTTAAATATAAAATTAATCCAACCAAACATTGACAATAAAATAAATATATAACAACAAATTCGTTACAAGAGGTTATTGTTTACGTAGATGAGGGTACGGATAAGGATTTAAATTTTGGCAGTTAATGAATAATCTTCAGTTAAGCCAGCTTTATTTTCCTAACAGGGTGGTTGGCCTTTGGAAAGAGTTACTTTCAGATTGGAAGATGCAATTGATTTAAGAGAGTTTAAGGGAAAACTTGACAAATATTTCAATGAAAAGGACTGACTTTGAGTTTTTTAGTGAATGATCTCTGCAACATTAATACTGACTCTCAGGGAATAATGCCTCACCCTCATGATTCCAGTCTCAGGATCCAGGTCGCTAAGTGTATAGTCTGCCTGTCTGTCTCCGTTTGCACTGATGAAAATATCCCCTGTCATTCCTGTGGCGATAAGGAGAAATAAAAAAGATAAAAATAATTTTACAAAGGCGTTTCAGATAATCATTCCAGTCGTTTCGGAAGTTGGTCTAACTTTAACATTTGAAATCTTAACTTCTATAATTGAAATATGTTAGATAATTACATATAATGGCTTAAATTTTCATTATAATTTACTCGTTCAAAAACAGTTCTTTTCCCAACAGTTTCCGCTCTTTCGTAGATATTTATAAAGTTTTTACTTCAGAGCAAATTATTTTTTATTTCAAATTAACGTTGTCACTTTTATTTCATTAAGTCACCCATGGGCAGGTTTTTGTATCTATTTCTTTGCACTGAAGAAATTTAAAAAATCCTATAATGCATTAGTGTTAACATTCACAATCTATATTATACTTGTAACTTTATCATATTTAAGTATACAAAGGTTTGAAGTCACGTTCTTCAGTTCTTGAAGTTTAATTTGAAGTGATGGTGATACAAAATAAACACTTTCCCTGACTTTTAATTTTTCAAACTACAAAACCTTCTACGATTTTTGTGTTAAATACTTAGACGTTCATATGTAAAAATTCTGATAAGTACTTACTAGACATAATGTTTGTAGTGTAGTATGGTATTATCTACCTAAACAGCCCCAAACGCGATATTAAAAAAAAAAAAGAACCGGGTCACAAGCCCCTAGATTTATGCATGGTTGTCCCTAACTTAGAATTGCTAACTAGAGTGAGGGCAATCAGTCAAAAATATTCGCCGCCTACTCAACTAGATTAATGCATGGCTGTCCTTAATTTAGAACTGCTAACCAGGGTGAGAACAATTAATCAATAACGCCCACCGCCTACTCGGCTCTTCTAACTAAATAGTGAGATTGACTGCGACTTTTTGACAGCCCTATAACTCAACGTGCAGAGCGTATTCGCAAGCATATAGCGGGCTTGAACCTTGGATCTTTCGATCCACAGCTAATCACTACAATATGCGCGATCCTGGTTTTGAATTTCTATAAACGAAGGTAAAAGAGTTATGATATTTCACGAATTGTAATTGAGAATTAGTGTACATGAATGTAAAGAATTATATTAATAGCTAGAAGAAAAATAAACCATTGTCTAGAATTAGTTTAAATTAACTTGGTTTGCTAAATTCAATGTTCGAAAAAAAAAAGATGAAATTATGAAAATAACTAGCACTGCTTTCCTAGTTTCTTGTAAAATCATGATTGATTATTTTTATTTATTGATAGAATTTCATTATGATTCATCCTCTTTAATTTCCCCAGATACTCTGTTTCGTCTTTATTGTACCCCACACTAATTTGCTTAAAATAACAAAATTTGAGAAGTTGTAGATTTTCACCATAGAATATAAATGAACTGCATAATACATATTTCCAGTAATAAGAAGGTATAACACATTTCAACTACCCTTCCTTCTGCTTGTAGTGCCCCGCTGCTGCTATCAGAACTAAAAAGGTTTGCTAGATTGCAAAATACAAAGTCTTAGTTGAAACGTTATTTATATCAGTTTTTCGGATTACAATAAAGAAGGTAAAATCTTATGGTGTAAAGTGCTTTAACTGTTTAGTAACAATACACATATTATTATTAAATATCATGATCCACCAACTAGAATGTTCTACATACAAAGGATGTAAATACTTGTTTTCAAACATAAAGGTGATTGATTTAGTAAATAACTATTTTCAGGCATGGTGTATTATAGACTTGATTAAACAGTTATCTTAAAGCCTGAAAGTATAGTTGCACTAAGTAAATAATCATTTTAAACATGAAAGTTATAGTGGAACTGGGTAATCAATTGTCATAAAGCATGAAAGATATATTTAAAACGAGTAAATAACTACCTTAAGCACGAAAGTATAATTGAACTGAGAAAACGGTTGTCTTTATGCATAAAAGTATAGTTGAACGAAGTAAACAGTTTTATTTAGATATGAAATTATAGTTGCACAACGTAAACAGTTGTCGATGAAAGATGTTTAACAGTGTAAACATTTGTCTTCGATAATCTAGAGTGTTCAAAACCGTCTAAACAGTTGTGTTTGGTAATGGAGGATGTTTGAGCTGTGTAAACAGTTATCTTTAGAGATGGAGGATGTTTGAATTATGTAAACAGTTGTCTTTTATGATGGAGGATGTTTGAATTATGTAAACAGTTGTCTTTTATGATGGAGGATGTTTGAATTATGTAAACAGTTGTCTTTTATGATGGAGGATGTTTGAGCTGTGTAAACAGTTATCTTTAGTGATGGAGGATGTTTGAACAGTGTAGGCAGTTGTCTTCAGTAATGGAGGATGTTTTAACTGTGTATACAGATGTATTCGATGATGTAGGTGTCGAAATGTGTAAATAATTGTCTTCAGTAATGGAGATGTTTTAAATGTATAAAGAAATGATGTTTGAATTGTGTAAACAGTTGTCTTCAGTAATGGAAGATGTTTGAATTGTATAAACAGTTGTCTTCAGTGATAGAGGGTATTTGAACTATATAAACAGTTGTCTTCAATGATGGAAGGTGTCTAATCTGTGTAGAAAGTTGTCTTCATCGATGGAAGATGTTTGAACTGTGTAAACAGTTGTCTTCAGTGATGAGGTGTTTTGATAGTTGTATTCAATGATGTAGAATGACTAATCTATGTATAAAGGTGTATTGAAGAATGTAAATGTATAAAAACGTTGAGCAATCTAATCACTGAAAAAACAGTGACTCTACCACCGTAAAATGTGTTGTTCCATAATTTTTCCGCTAAGGTTCTCCCATCAAGTGGATCGCCTCCTTCTACAAGTGTTTTGTTTAAAATATATCCGTAGAGCAGGACACAATCATAAAATGCTCCAAGGATAGGGTCAACCTGTAGAGAGAAATGCGATAATCAAAATATAGAACAAAATTGGATAACCAAATGTATTTTCATACAAACACACTCCTTGATAATTTTTACAAGCGACTTTATTTATGCCCTAAAAGAAATCTCAGATTAGGAAAATTAAAATAATTTTATGTTAGGTTCCTTCTGTAATATCCAACATCTTATTTCGAAAATATTTTACTTGCCTTACAGAAAAGCATTGTAGAAGAACAGGTTAAAACAAAAAGAATTTAAAGTTCTCCGAAACTGTAAAGTTTTGTTGGAAAATTTGGTTTCCCATCACCAGAAGATTTTAATTCTCTACAAGATATTTTTGATGATTAAACGATATAAACGTAATTTTGAGCATAGAATGTTTGTTCTGCCCAGTGAAAGCCTCATAGAAAAGAAAAAGTTTAGACACAGTTATGACATTCACAAGCATCCGTGTCTTCATAAAATGTAATTTACATTTTTATACAATGTTATTTGCTCACAAAAATACTCTGTTCGAAACGAATTTTTCAAGATCTATGTTATGCCTCAATAGTAATGAGGAGGGGGGGGGGGGCTTTAGGGAAACTCACAAGTTATTCAGATGTAGAATTTTTTAGTAGTAAAACAACTTAGCTCAATCTAATTTATAGTATTAATTTGCAATTTTTGTGGTCGTTTTTTTGTTACTACTTTATTGGCTTCCCTGAAAGCGTATCTGTACTGCAGTGAAGCTTTTTGTTACTGCTCTTTTCTCGATTTCTTGCTACAAGAGGGTACTGAATTGACGGATATTAACCAAATTTGTTATGTAGGTTCACTAGTTCGTTCCGCAGTTACATGCGAAGTTTCACATTAAACAGCGAGGGTCCCTTAAAGAATTGATGACCATCGCAGAAGGTAAAAAACATTTTCTTTACTGATTTTACCAGGGAACTTCTTTCCTATTGATTCTCCTTTTCCTAGTTACACCATACGGTAACTTCTTTTCCAACAGTCTCATTAGTTACTAATATTAATGAAGATTGCCCATGGTTGCCACTTTCACCTTACTAGTGCAAGGAATGTCTATATCCTGTCAATAAAGTTGTGCTGGACTTGATAGAGAGGCTTCTCCTGCAAGCTTGTTAGCTTTACCCCCTGAATGGTTTGGTACATACATTTACGGTATTAACATACAATTGGGTTCCTTTGTACTATCTGGAGACCAACCAATCTGATTTTTATGCAGTAGTGCCTCTGAGCCATTTACAAATATTAAATTGGTGACACTGTCTACCTGCAGTTTGTTTATTTAGAAAAATGCAGTGGCTCAGTGATGTAATGCCTTGGCTTTACATTTCACGGCCTCAGGTTTGTTTGTAATCATTGTTGATGTTCTACAATGCTGTTGAGATTTGTTATGTGTAAAGGAGCTTTGATAGGGGTGGCTGAATTACATCCCATGACCAATCTTAAACATGTTTTTTATCTTTACAATCTTACCTAGCTGTATAGCACTAATACTATTCGTCAGTAGTGTATAATCCAGGATGGAGTGAATGAGACTTTGGAGCATAGGCAGCTGATATTCTTCAGTTATGTTTTCCGCTGCAACTTTTCAGTGCATTGATGCCTTTGGTAGCTCCCATTATTATAGTGTTAATATGGTTGGTGAAGTTTGGGTGTTTCGTTGTCTGTCACATGTTAAACCCAACCTCAGGTCCAGCTGGGCGAGTTAAACATTTAAGAAACATAATCGATTACCTATAAGCAGCGATTACATTGATTAGTGTTTCTGAATATTCCAAAAATCGATGAATCAAAATTTTGATTAAACTGATTGTCAAGAAATTAATAAGCTTTACAATTATTACTAGCTTCAATTATTCCAACTATCCAAGTAATCGAAATATTTCTAGTATGTTTTGTTGTTTTTAAGCACAAAAGTACGTGATGGACTATCTGTTCTCTGCCCAATTTTAGCTTTGTAAAAAGGCTGTTTTTATTTTTGTTTTTTTACTTCTAGTGTGATCAGTGTGAGGGGGTTCGTGATTCAAGGATCTTGTGTTCGATTCCCGTCGCTACCAAATGTATTCACCCTATCGTTGTTTATTGCAAAGCTTTTCAGGCTATTTGCCACTGTCACTAATTTTGAGCTGTTGACTAGAGGAAAGGCAACTGTCTGGCAGCGCCCGCCGCCAAATTGTAATTGTTTTTATCTTGAAGTGCTGGCTAGAGGGATGGAAACTGGCTGGCAGCACCCTCTACCAATTTTATTTTCTTGCTTGTATGTAACATGATTTGAGAAACACTTGCCAATCTATTAATCAAATGTAATCATTTGATGACACCGTTGATTGACCATTTAGAAAATAACACTAATTACTTCATTGTTCCTTGCAGAGCGATAGCAGTGATGATTTGCCCTTATCAGTACGTCTGTTGTTGAGTGTGTAAAGCATGGGTGTGACTTTGGCAGGACTGATGATCATTCTTGTATCATTGCACTATTTACTGCTTAAAGATAGTTGCATCTTGTTTTCGATTTCAGCTTCACTAGCGCTTCTAATGTAGTTCAGAAAATAGGACCAGCCAGAATCTATGGGGAATCTCTTCAAATTCTGCTTAACATTTTACCTCAAACTTACTGAAAGAATAATTCTTGTAAATCACCGTGGTTAAAGTTGGCAGTTAAATGAATTAAGCATAAAAGATGCCATCTCAATAAGGATCTAATAATATTGATATTAACATTGTGTCCTAATGTTTATATTGAGACAGTGGATATAAAGTTTCTTTTAACTCATTATTGCGCTAAATAAGGCTAAGTTTTATGTTATTTGTGAATTGGCCATTTATACACTCTAAAAAACAAATAAAACGACAATTCAAAATATGTTATCTTTGCAAAAATTATTAAATCTCACTCAAATATAAAACGAGAAACCACAATTTAAAATAGCTTACAACAGTGCCTAACTATGATGATTTGTAGATCTTTAGACGATGTATTTGAACGTCAAGGCGGGTAACATACTCGCCTGTTTACACACTGAAAACAATGGTTTACTTACGTCAAGATAAATCAAAAACTACTTCCAAAACAAAGCCGTCTTCATTACGAGTAATTGCCTTATTGCCCCCCAGTGACACAGCAGAATGTCTGCAAACTTACAACGCTAGAAACCGGGTTTCGATTCCCGTGATGGGCAGAGCACAGATAGTCTATTGTGTAGCTTTGTGCTTATCTTAATAATATACATTGCTTCATTAGTTGTTTTATAATAATGTACGCGTAGCTTTCAAATTATGTGCAAGTGTAAGCAGAAATGCAACTGTCATAGCAATGAACTCTGCAAATGCATTAATATGAACCCGGATATAGTTCACTTAAATTATAGTTTTTAAGGTCTATATAGTGCTTGATTATGTTAATGCTATTGAAATTGATGTAGTGTAGAAATGCGCAATACTTTTACTTCGTTTATCATTAACATACCTTTTTACATTTCCCATAGACTTGAGGTTTGGTCATAAAAAAGTTAGCAACTGACAACTAGTTGGGCTGTCAAGACTGGTTAAATTCATGGTGGGGATGTTGGAGAAGACTGGGAAGAATGGCGATCTTTGAGGCAAACCAGTGTCGATTGTGATCCAGTTTGAATGCTTCTCTCCATGCTTCATGAATCATTTTCTGGTAGATAGTGTAGCTATTAACATTTTACAATGATGAGTATATTGAGCCTTTTTTCAACAAAAATGAACATCTGGACTCCAATGTAGGTAAATTTCAGATCTATAACTACTGCCAAGATGTTCTGATTAACTTCAAAACCTTCCCATCTATCAGTTGCAAATTCATCGACATCGATCCAGGTTTCTCTTATACGTTGATAGCCAACTAATAATGGTAATAGTGGTAGTAGTTTAATTTAATATGCACGTCATCTAGCTACAGCCTTCTCTGGGATATTGGTAATGATATTTTGCAGGATGATGGTCTGATGGTCTTTAAGACAAGAGGTTTTCATGTGCACATCACACAACAAGGTTATTATTTCATACATTATGTCCCCTATGTTAGGTAGAACTTATACTCCAAGCATTTTTTGTTGATTCACCCAAGTTTAGCAATGTAATGTTCGTGGCTATACCGCAGAGAATAGATAGTAAATCTTTGCCATTAGTGTTTTCACCTATGTATCCTACAACTATATACATAGGAGATTATCAGACAGGTCAGGAAGAAACCTTCAATCTTCAGTATGATGAGCTATGTAATCTAATATGTACAAAATGGTGATTCCAATTTGTATGGATAACTTTGAAGAGATATCTAGATGGTTTGTAGTTTGCATCAGTGATTGTTCCACTGAAAAATGTTATAATGTTCACGGTAGGTGCTGCTGTCTTGACAAATTACAATGGTCATCTCAGCCTCTGAGTTATGTAGTATGAAGTTAAAGCGAAAGAGAATGAATTACTCAAGGTCTGATAGTTTCGTCTCTTGAAATAGTACGGTTTCATAACATTTAGATAGCTTCTCAAGGAAATATTTGCTTCTTCTGTTTCTCCTGTCGTTACAGTAACCTATCTTAATATGGGATTGGCGGAGTCTGGTGCACATTTTATGCATGCGCTATTTAACAGCTCAATTTTTAGTACTCAGTTCCATGTTTTTTCCTTCTCTTGTTGAACAGTCGAAGTATCTCGCTCAGTACGTCATCTCCATTACTCCCACATGGCGCCGTGTTTTAATGAATCGTTATTTATAGGCAATACATTAATTACACACTTTCAGAACTCCAATTCCTAGCCCTGTCCAACCTAACTAGGCAGATAAGTGATGGCGAACCAGTAGCCTACTGGATTGGGCTGTCATTATTGATGTGGGGGCACACTGACAAATATATTACAAAAATACCTTCCTACTGTAGAGAAGCCTCCCTTACGCCAATCAGCCCTGCTTACAACCAGTTAATCCCATATCCAGAGATTTATCCACCCTGATGTTGCATACAGCTAGG